CCCGTCCCATCGATCCTCGAAATGATCCATTTTCCTGGCATCAATTTGAATAGAGGCAGCAGCAGCCGCAGCAGGAGGAGGAGGACTGTTGTTCGGCTGACGGAAAATGACCGCACATACAATTCGAAGTGCCATGGCAACAACACCTCAACAATGAGGCAAAAAGCAGCAATTGCCAGGAATGTCAAGACGGTCTCGGTAATCATTGTAGGCCCAGACAATCATTATGCGTTTTTGCATATATGCAAATGTAAAAACGTGTGTGTGTGTGTGTGTGTGTGTGTGTGTGTATGTGTATGTGTATGTGTGTGTATGTTTGAGTTTTCGGAATTATTTTTTAGGATTATTAACTTAAGATTAACCCGCTAACAACGTGTTCTGGACAAAAAAAAGACAAAGCAGTTCTAGTACCAGCAGTTTCTGCAACAGATTTTGGCGTCCAACAGAGCTTCTTTTATTTTAGAAATTACTAAAATTGTTTGAACAATCGACACGGACAAATTACTTTTTTTTTTAAAAATTGCCTGGCCAGTTGGTTTCTGCTTTGTTATAGTATCATGCATGTAAGCAAATAATCAGTTGCGAATTTTTGATGATGAATAAAATTCCTCCTTATGAAATTTCTATTTAAGTACGCAGTACGGAAGCGGCAGCAGACTAGGCAGTGTCAAGGCATGGCGGAATACACACGTTGGCAACTCCAAGCATGACGAAAAGACATTGTGCCGCATTTTGTCTGACCAAGCTTGGATGGTACGAATCAGCATCAACCTGGCCAACGGTTGGTAGTGTGTTAAATTCGACAAATTATTATCTTTCAAATTACATAAATTAAAGATTTGATATTCTTTCCTCAAAAAACAAGGGAAGTTGCCGCAACAAATACACATTTAGTCGGTTAGACTGAATGTTTTGTAAGTGCAACTCCAACTGATGCAGTTATACTTTTGCTTTTTGGCAAAAAAAAAAACAGTATTTCTATGTAAATAAGTTTTTATTCCACTTATCTGACATCCGATTTTATCTTGCTTAAATATCTCAAAATAAACAACAGAAATAACAAAAAACACCAGTACACAAAATCTGGAAAGAATCAAAACACTGAGACCAGCACGAAAAGCATAAGAAATCTTTGAGTGAATGCAAAATGAAGATGTAAAATGAAAGGTGTAAAACGAAAAGCAACAAAAATCTCTAAGTGAACATAAAAATGACAGGTCTTACAGGAATGTCAACAGTTGCATTAAACATTATGAAACACTT